CAATTCTTAAGGCCCCTACATTACTGTTACTTGGACACTGTGGGCAGGTAGAGGGCTGGTTCACAATTAATTGTTGCGGCATGCGACCCATTTCTGCTCGCTTGCGGTGACGTAGAAGCGATGGTCGCTGGTTTGTGCAGGCACATCAACCGACAAGTACTCCTTAGCCCAAGCCTGTTCACCAGCAAAGAGAAACAGCGACCTAACGTAGCCTGTTGAACAGCTGAGCACACGTCTGCGCCAGCAAGCAGTAAGAAAGGTTCTGCGTAGTTAGTGATGTCATACCCATTATACGTCCTGTAGAATGATACTGCAACATACAAAGCTCTATCCCGATTCCCAAAGCGTCATGGCCCCCCAAAACAACGATCATGCCAAACTCGGGCGAGACCTTGCCGCCGATGGAGGACTTTGCATCGAAGCTTCGGGAGCGAATGAATCGCACTGAGGACCTGACCTATGTACGGAGCGACCGGTACCTAAAACTGCCACAGCCCTTTTTTTGTGGTTGAGGCTCCTATGCTTAGCCCTAAATCGGATTATAAGGGATGAACTATCTAGGTATATACTCTTACCTATCGATCCATATCTTCCCTTTACCGGAATAAGTTGGCCTTATAGGTTTTGGGAGTTCCAGGTACATCTTGTTGGGCGAGCTGCTGACCAGTCCCGAGTTGAGCGAGGCCATGTGCCTCGCTGGCATTGACGACGGCAGCGGCGTGAACTTTCAGAAACTCGTTCTCGAATACCACGCTCTTTTTGTGTTGGGGCTTTCGGGTTCTTGCAGTCTACTAGTGTGTTTAGCCCCCTGATTTCTGTGGCTTCTTGGGGGGGAGCAAGGAAAGACAGCGGCAAGGTAACACTGAGCCCTGAAATCAACAGCTTCATAGAGAAGATGGTGAACAACTGCCAGCTCCCAGAGGGGGAGAAGGTCTTCGACTACTGGGCTGATACCGGCGTAGGTAGCTGGATCCGGCTTGCAGGCAAGCGGCAGAGCGAAGGCCACTACCGCCGCTACTCGCATGGTACCACCAGCACTCATAGCCATCACGGCTCTTACAGTGGCGCCCACGCCACAAGGCCCCCAGCTCCCCAGGCCGAGCCTTGTCCGCCACGGTCTGCACAGTTCCAAGCCAGAGCCTTGCCAGGCTGGGTCACTCGGGTGCAAAGTGCCGATGGCGTGGCAACTCCAGCTACCAGGACGATGCCTCCCCCCGCATCATCCACCTTGCCTGAAGAGGCTTCACTCCCACCATCTTCCGCGTCAACATTTCTCACGGAAGAGGTTCTCCCGAAGGCGCAGCCAGATCGACCGCCACCGCCGTCTTCCGATCACATGCCGCAGAACTTGAGTCACGTCGTGACTCGGGCCATTCCCAAGCGGAACAAGGTCGCCAACAAAATGAAACATGAGAGCACCGGCGCGCCTGAGAGCCAAGTCGCGGCGCCGGCGCCCGCACCGACGCCCAAGCCCCCGCCGGCAGAGCTTCGGCAGGTGGCCCCGGCCCCACCGCCCAGCATCCCGGCACCGGCACAGGAGCCCTAGGATGTTCAGTAGTATCCTTTCTT